GTAAATGTAAAAAAGAGAACAATAAGGGTTCTCAGAATAATCCTTCAAAGGTGAAGGAATTGTGTATCAATATAGTCTGTAAATATGAGGCATGCTCAGACAATATAGTCCATTTTTGAAAGAATGCGACTTGTGACAAGCATTGCAAATGCAGACTCATTCTTGAAAGTGAATGTGAAAATATACATGTGATATAAATTATGCATAATAATGTGCTTATACATGGTTGTATAAATACCACAACTCACCTCTAAGGGAGGTTTGAGAGAAATAAAGTTAATAAATATTACAATGTGGTTACATGAATATGTATTGGTCGCGTACATGTGGTACGCCAAAAATATATTGTCATGCCTTATAAAAAGTTATTAAAGGCAAAAGTAAAGCAAGAAATGATTTTGCTTATGATGATTTTGACCATGACAATTATTATGATATGATTTTCTCCGTGAATGAGACATTCACCGTATGGATGGTGTGACAAAAGATCTTGTATTACAAAATCAATTAAGAGCTCCGGAAGAGCTAATTTGTTACTACCCGGATGAATAAAATTGTTCATGACATTGATATTGTAGTAAGTCTCAAAAGAAACTTTTTGAGTTTCAAATGTATTAGCCAAAGTGGTTGGCATATTGAGACTATAAATGAAAGGAAGATCGATTAGCTCCATATTACTATAACATATCGGATAAATATGAAGGTTACCCAATTTTTCTTCTATTTGTACTACAGATGTATAAGCATGATATGAAATCACATGCCATAGTAAATTAAATGTTTACTGAAATAAATATCAGTTGGCATGACCGATTGGCCATCCCGGTTTATTGATGCGAAAATTAATTGAGAATTCACATTGGCATATATTGAAGAAATAGAATATTCTTCAAGAATTCTCTTGTGCTGCTTATTCTCATGATATACCAGTTAAGGTTGGGACTGAATCCCTTGATTTCTGGAACGAATAGAAGGTGATATATATATGGGCCCAGTCACCTGCCATGTGGATCGTTTACTATTATATGATTTTAATAGATGCATCTATTGTATGGTCACATGTGCGTTTATTATCAACTTGCACTTTGGTTTTTGCAAGGTTGTTTGCTCAAATTATTAGAGCACAGTTCCAGAATATATATTATGATAATTTATCTTGATAATGCTGGTTTAAATCCAAGTTGGTTTAGCAGAAATTGTATGCCTCCAATTATAGCTAAACCATTGGTTATGAGAACAAACTCCAAATAGAAATTTTGTATTAAGTATATTAATTAATATACAACAGCACTTGTACGCATCTAGCCAACAAGTTGTGATAAATTCTACCCATCACAATTGGTTCAGGGTCAGGAACCAAATATTTTCATCTAGAAATATGGATGTACTATATGATTTAATTGTGCCACCACAATGCACAAAGATTGGTCTCAATGAAGGTTGGGGATATGTGTTGGTGATCTCAACATTAGGGGGAGAAAATGAGCACCTGAAAAAAAGTAATACATGGAATGAATTATTATGAGTATATTAGATCCTCGTAGAAGAAAATATGAACTTGAAGTTCAAGTGATAATTCATTTTCAAAATATTTCCATGCGCATTTGCTGACCCAAACTAAATGTCATATTCAGCTACTAATGCTCCAAATAGAATAAAGTCCATGATGGACATAGTCTATGGAACTCTTGAAGCGTAATAGACTAATCGGTTCCAAAGATAAAACTCCTTGAAGAAGGAGAGGAGCAAATGTTCAAGATGGTCATAATAAGGAGGCAAGTGCTTTATAAGAGTACCATGACATAACATTTTATAAGACCTCATGGGAGAGGCTCAGGTACCTGAAAATAATGAGATCTCGATATAATGAGATCTCGATAAGTTATGTCTTTATTATGCGATGATGGAGCCGATGTAAAATGATCGTTGACGATGTTGTTAATATAATGTAGCGCTCAATATTATTAATATTGACGAGGATCTTGAGCTCAAATCTGTCAGGGAATTTGGACAGATAAATGATTGGCCAAATAAATAATATGCAATGAAAATTGACTTCATCTGAAAAATATGAAGTTGGACGAATAGTCCCAACAACTGAAAGTATAAAGGCTATATGGAGATATTGAAATATGATTAGTATTATATTGCGAAAAGAATCCTTGATATAGATTTGTTTATTCTAACAAACATTGTCAAGGTTTTGTTGTTTATGAAAATGCAGGCATTTATTGAAGTCCGTTCTTCAAACAATCTATTTGTATGTGAGGAATTGTCATATTATCATTTCACAAGATGTTTGACTTTTCTTTGAAGAGAAGATTCCAATAATAATGAAGAAGCTGATGTTTGCTTATCTCAATTGAAAGAAGAATATTGAAGGAGACTGAATAAATCATATATTTCATCAAAGTTCTTTGTCAGACACGATCTTCAACAGAATGATGAAATAGATGTTCAAGAAATTCCTTCAAGTGATTATTTGGCGGAATAATTCACGAAGGCATTGCCGATCTCAATATTAGAGAAGTTGTTATACAAGCTTGGAATTCGGCGTCTCCAAGAAATAAAGTGATATTTTCATCAGGGGGAGGCAAATACGAGCTGTACTCTTTTTTCCCTTAGCTAAGGTTTTATCCCACTAGGTTTTCCTGGCAAGGTTTTTAATGACGCGGCAAGTAATGCGTATTATAAGATATGTTTACTCTTTTTCCTTCACTAAGATTTTTTCCTCCATGATTTTTTCTCAGTAAGGTTTTAACGAGGCACATTATCTATGGACATCCAAGCGGGAGTGTTATGAAATACATATTTATATGGATGTCCACTAATCAAATATAACTCTCACTACTCTTCTCCATTATGTAGATAACCCCCACTACTTCTTACCATTATGGATGTAACTCCCACACCTCCATGATCTTCCCCCATGTTCTCAATAGTTAATACCATATTTATGGAGTCCCTTTGTATTACCTATATCATCCTATAAATAGAGGGTTTGGGCATCACATTGTATACATTTGAATACATGAAGAAATAAGATTCTCTCCTCTCTTTCTCTCTACATTGTTGTCTATCTTCTTGTTTTATGTTATTCTTTGAGCTAAGTTTCGTAACATATATATATATATATATATATAAGAAAACTAAATATTTACATATAATTTAAATAATACTAAAAATACCATAGCTTACTTATCAAAATACTAATTAAAGAAACTAAATATTTTTTGTAAATTTTCTTTTTCTCTTTACGAATAAAAATAAAATATTTTATAAGTATATATATACATAGACCTACAAGAAATATTTACATTAAAGTAGAATAGAATTTGGGTGTGGTCAAAAATTAGGTGTTCACAATGAGAACCACCACAAGCAAGGAATTTATTTTTTTGCTTCTTTCTAATACATACACAAACTCTTTTTTTCTTTTCAAAGTTCATTCTTTTTCCCCCTTCAAATAACATTTTTTTCTTTTAATTCTTTACAAGTGGCTATCACAAATTTTCAAACAGTGCACATTTCTTCGTTTTTTTCAGTTCCACTGAAAACTCAACCATACTTCCACTTAGCTTTTAACAAGTTCATCACAGTGACAAGTGCTCAAGAGAGGTGAAAGGTTCAAACAAATAGGCAATTCAAATAAATGAGTCAAGCTTGTAATGTGATTTCCAAAGAAATAGGATTACAGGCTCAAATGGGTTGACTAAGATACACATTAATTATATGGGTAAAAGCATATATCTGGTTCAACAAAGAAACGTCTTTATCCCATCCTAGATTAAACAAGACTATTATTTCGCTTTGCAAACACACAAGGCAAGTTCTAGAAATCAACTGACATGCACATAATATCAACAAAAATCTAACACACACACATTGGCACATAACTCACTGAGAACCGGATCTATCCCGACTCTCTAGTCAAAACAATTGAGCATAGTCACAATCAAATAATTTAAGACACTTATCCACGAGTCAAGAAATGAGACTAAGCATCACATTAAGGCACTCACCGCTCTCAAGGCATCACAAAGTCAAGAATAATTATTTCCATTTAGACTTCTTTATTCCTATTAAAAGAAAAACTAACTATATCCGGTTCAAGTAATTGGCGTGTATCATGTGGTGGCTATAGTTGACTAGGGTTGCGGTCGCGTTATTTATTGTGGGAGGCAGTTAAGGTGGGAGTCACGTCCCATTATCAGTCACTATATTCTTTGTTTTCTTTTCCTATTTGCATGTGAGGTAAATCGTGTTCTAGGAATAAGAATGGCAGTAATTTTAAATGTTTGTCTCGTACAAGGAACGTGATACTTTCAGAAATTATATATTATTACATGGTTACCTTTTTCCTTTTTAAATTCGAAAAGTGTAAGAATGAGAGAAGAGTTTAACAAAATTTTCATGATAAGTAAAATATTTTCCATGTAGGTCTAATCTTGATAAAAGAAATATTTTTAGGCCATATTTTAATCATTCTCCACTGCTCCATCAATGACGGAGCTCCTCTAGCTCCGTACTTAATCAAGAGAATTGTTCATCATCGGATTCAGCCACCAGATGAAATTGAACCTTGTCTAAGCAATGGCTGGCTCAACCCTCTCATCAATCTCTCCTCAGAGTAAGATGGTGGTAGCCAAAGCTATTTAATAAGTACACCTTTATGAAAGTACCGATGCAAATTATATTTTACCACTAGTTAAACTGAAATAGTATTTGACTATAAATTTATATGTGAAAATTTATGAAATTTCAACAAATATTAAATGCAAACACATTATTTCATGAGTATGATATAATATGAACCTTAATAATTAAATCCATTGTTTCGAATCCTGGGTTTGCCTACGGGAATGATACTCGGTAGAATGGTGGAATTAGGAAGTAGGATACACCAACACCAAATTGCCACGCAAGAGTCCATTTTTCACAACATGCAAAAGAGTTGTAGCCAATATGACAGCCACCAGATATATACACGGGTCACCAACTCAAGTGTGCAGAAGATGATTAGAGCTCATCAGAATATGATGGTGCAAAAGATGGCACAGTCAACAGAGTGCTCCACACATCAAAAGCATAGATACAAGGACAAGGAGAAGGTTCACCTTTCATTTCATTTATTTAAGCATATGCATAATATCACCAAGTAAACTTCCCTAAACACATGGCATACACTACATGTAGATCATGAGTCTCTCTCTCTATATATATACAGGTAAGTCGTTTTGGTGATAGGGTCACTGGAGTTGGCTTTCACATATGCTCTATTCCGTCTATTTGGAGTGTTCGGCTTGGGACAATTTGCAAAACCTCACGTTTCTCTGCACCCAAAAAAAAAAGAAGGGGGAAGGTGACACTTAGTTGCTATAAAACAATATGAAAAAGGCAACTGTATATGCTGCTGAAATGTGTGCAAGGAAATCCTTAAGAGGCATATGAAACATATACAAATGAACTATCTGTATATTCTTGGAAAAGAATCAAAAACAAGAGGGCTCTAGCCTTTCGACTTACTAAAGGTTTTTGGTAAGCATGCAGGATAAAGGATGAAATTCTAGATATAATCGTGAAGACATCAGATAATTCGGTAAGCACGAGAACATAATGATCATCTGCTAGTTGTCAATATGGTTTCTCTAACTGTATTACTCTGACAGGCAGATGAATGTCCTCCAAGCCACTAATGACTATAATTTGACCCAAGTCCATAATCGTGGTTGGGCAAAAAGAAAATCTGCATATACATACTAGTCTGCCCTAAACCAGTTATGATATATCTCAAACCAAATCACAAAAGGGGAAGACCCTTGAACAATTCTCATTATGCAACCTAAAGAAATGCACGACTCGTGTTTGAGATTCACCATTACACTGCGCTAAATCCTAGTAATCCCTCAGATTGAAACAAACCCCCCCGACCCCCTCATACTAAATCCACAACTCTTTTCCCTCGAATCTTCCTTGAACTCCTTGAAATTTAAATCNCCCCCCCCCTCCAACCCAAAAAAACCCCAATTTGGAAAAACTTCACCACCACTAAGCCTCACCTATGCAGACAGAGCTTCCACAAAGGCTAATGGCTGAGACTTCTAAATTTTGCAGTGGACCTTTCATTTTATTTTGAAATGGCAGCATGCTGTTAGTGAAAATATAGCTAAATACTTGCTACCAATTTTTTTTTCTGAAAACAGATGCTGAATAAAAAAGATTTGGCTGTAATAATGAGCATGAAGAGATTGAATAACCTCACGCAGGCATTAAACATAAAAGGGCCAGTATAACCTTGATTTACAATGAAAAGATCTCTAAAAGATAGAGAGCGGGTCGACGACCTATATATGAAACTCACAAGCTCGTCAAGTCCTCGTATTACTTCGCATTCCTTCCTAAACTAATCACTGAATCACATTGCAATGGGTCCCAGTCCAGTCCCTACCATCCTATTTTCAGTTCAGTTCATGCATCGATAGCAAAATCTTACGAGAGAGAGAGAGACTACCAACGGCCATGATCTAGGATGTCTCGTTTTTTTTTTAATTTTTCCAATGGTTAATGACCATGATGACATGCTAATCACCTTCTAAATCTCAGATTCAGATAGAAAAGAACTTTCTTCAGGCATTCAACATGAGTAGGTATTGTTCTAGTATGATGATTAGTCATAATCTTTACATACAACAGATTATCAATTGCAGTTGTCGTATCATATTTATATTCAGCTGATCTCTTTTCGTAATCACCTCTTTTAAAACCAGGATACTAATTTTAATGCCCTTATTTATTCTAAAATTAACAGCTATTGTGACATTACGATTCATCCATTTAAATCTTCAAGATTTTAAAAAACTCAATTATTAATTGTAATGTTGTTCTAAATTCTAATTGTAAATGCTGCATTTTACCAATCAATAGTGCCTTTTTCTTAACCAGAAATGTTAGAATTGAAGTATCTTTTTTAGTTCTTTTTTTTTTTTTTTACAAAGGAACAACAGAAATTTGGCATCAATTTGAACTATGAGAAAGTTCTTCTTTTTTTTTTTTTTTTTTTGGGGGGGGGGGTTGTAATTTTGTAAGGAGTAGGGCGAGTGAGAGGTGGCAACTGGAAGATCGATTACCAAAACATGTGGAAGCACATTCTATTTTATTGGCTCAAGACACGCCACACTTTTATCATTTTCAAAAGATAAAAGCAGAATCAATTAGTAATTATGTCTTCCTCTATGTATATCAAAGTAGAAGGAAAAAACGAACATGTATCTTGTCATTAAACAGGCTCCTGCAATGTGAGATGATGTCAAACATCCCAACATACAGAGGAGAAACTCTGTGCAAGTCAGTTTTTAAACTAAAAAGAAAAGTTGTATGCAACACACGAGAGAAGCTCTCTGCAAACTACTTTGAGATATCATAATGGTGTATTCATATACTCCATAACCATAACTGATTTTGAGAAGTATAATCGGCCAAAAGAAAAATAGGATTACTTAAACAGGATGACCCATAAAAACTTACTTTTAAGCTCAGAAACTTGCTCAGGAGTCAGCTTGGCAGAGAACCCACTAGCTGCATGCTTGTAACTATAAATCAAAGCTTCCTTTGCAGCATCCTCACTTTTTCACACCGTAAACACACAGAGATCAGGAAATACTTCAACCTCATGTGTACAGAATGTACAAGATATGTCTATATCGTTAAGAGAAAGGGGTACGGGAAAGAGGGAAAGGGGGGCAACAGCTCTCATCTGCAACCTCAACAACTAATCATCTAATAAAGAGTCCCTTAACCGAGCAAGCATGATTTTCTATCCAGTTCCTACTTAAGATTTTGGGAAAGTTGAGCATAAATTTTTAACTCTTTGAAACTTCTACAGGAAAAGATAACTCTATCTAGATACAGGAATTCTGACAGTATAAATTTATCAGTTATCATAGGTATCTTTATTTTTCCCAGGATGAGGTACTGTACTGGCTAACTTATCAAAAGTGTATATTAGAGGGTAATTATACAACAACAGACGCAATTACACGTGATTCAAACCCGGAACAACTAAGCGGTAAATACTACACACAGAATAGCTCGCCATTTTCTTTATCATGCATTGATGAACAAATCCAAGGTTGGTTCAAAAGTCTGACAGACTACGTTCGACGAATCCTTGTTCAAAAAATCTCAAATAAAAATCACAAAGTTAGATGAGGATTCAACTTATCTTATCGCAAAAAAAAAAAAAAGTTGGATGAGAATTCAATATTCCAATTGAACATGCAAAAGTGCCTAAGATTCATCCACCACATGTTTCCGCGCAAATCATTCTTGCAGCTATAGAACTATATTTTGATGTTCATACAACAACAACAAACCCAGCTATAGAACTATATTTTGATGTTCATATCATATATAAAAAGAAATTTATCATCTACGGATCGAAGTCTTCTCTTTTCAACTATTCAAATTAAGGTAACCCCACTTCCCCCCCCCCCCCCCCCCCAAACCATCACAAGGATTTGTGCTGGAAAATTTTCAACATGGAAGTAGGAGTGTTGTTTCTGTCCACCGTGCCATTCCATAGAAGAATCAAACTTCAACTCTTCTCAACTCTTAGAACTTCAAAGTATAGGATTAAGTCCAGAAGATGCATGCACCACTCACTAGCTTAGCATTCTTATCACGTACTAAAGAACAAACACAAGTCTGACTCAAACGTCCACTAGACTAAGTTCCACTAAATCCTTGTTCCAACACTCAAAATAAACATCACAAATATGGAGAGACTTGTTCAACATTCCCGATTCGGTCAGTGGAGGAGCCACGCGAGACATATTTAACGCTACGCCCTTAGCGCCTCCTCTAGGCGGGGCTCACAACCAAAGGATGCACAGGATGAAGTTTCCACCCTAAACTAAGGATTGGAAGGGTTGAGGATAGAGTTTCTTTTTAATTTCCAGGGTAGTTGGCAAGAGCTATAGCAGCTTACGATGCAGTTGATTCGGAAACATATGTCAGGGTGGTTGGGTGGGGAGTCAGATCAGGACCGCAACGGTCCTGCTCCGCTTTATACTAAGAGAGTGTGGTTGGGTCTAACTCCGTTATAGGGCTAGTACGCCAAGAATCCTAAAAGCTCTCTACAAGACTACAACCTAACTTTGTCAAGATAAAAAATGGAGAAACAAAAGGAACCCCACGCATTCTGCTCTCCCTCTTTGTCTCGCTGCTAGCCTGCTGCATTGCCATTGTCGGACTCGACGTGGAGGCTGGTGAAAGCTTGCAGTCTGAGGGCGGTTCATATCAAGGTTAGATTCTCCTCTTCTTCTTTTTTTAAAAATTTTTGGCTCTATTTGTGGGCTGAATTTTATTGTTAGTCTTTAGAGATTTAAACTTTGCTCAATATTTCTAAATCTTGGAAACAATTTACAGCTAGAATAAAATAACGGATGCTTAGATTTTCTTTTAGAAACTTCAGATTTTCACTCATATTTTTTTTTTCAGACCTGATTCCTCATTCCTGAACATATATTTGTTCTTTAAATTATAAGAAAACAAGGACAAATAAATTGGTGGCTGTGTATACGAATTTGGGAAATAGTTTGAATTCCCAAATTTTGGTTTTCAAGTTTAGCTTCTTTGACTTGTAAAGTGCTACACATACAGTGCCAAAGTTTGATTTACCACATGCAGCTATAGAGATGGATTGTGATGTTCATTTCTATCTTTTTGGACCCCAAACAATCTAAAACCTGAAGCATCATAACAAAAAGAAATCCAATCTGTAACAAAAAAAAGAACAATTTGGGTAGTTTTTCAAAGTAAGGTTCAAAATTCCTTTCTTTTCAACTCTTTGCATCAGATGCAACAAGTCTGTATCCAATCTCTTTTCTTCCCATTAAAACATGCCAAAAGTTGAAGCATCAAAGCAAACCCAGATGTTCAGATCATAGAATTATTTTATTAAGGAAAAGTGATAAAATAAGTTAAACCTGCCAAGAACGGAAGCTAAAATTTTGATATGGAATTCCTCAGGTTCTTGATCTTCAGGATTCTCAGTATGAACTATATATACTTTTGCTTGTGAATCCGCAATTGATATGGTAGCTGCAACAAAGGAGAAAACCAATAAAATCGAACAGATAATTTGGGTTTTCTTCATCGCTTTCACTTTATATTATAGAGAGATTCCTTGGGACACCTTTTATACTTGAGGAACAAGTTTCAGACTCGTAGAAAGTTGAAACCCCCGCTTTGACAAATATTTATAGCGTATTGAATAGTTCTGCTGACTAGGGATTTCTGAACTACAACAGCTGGAGGACTTTGCCACGTGTGAAAAGACGGTCGTTCCCCTGCTGTTATAACGTTTCGTTTTTTGGCTTTTTGGCAAATGACAAGTGCTGAGTCCCCAACCCAAATACTCCTCCGTTCCATGTGAATTTATTTCCTTTTTGGTTCGTTCCAAAAAGAATAGTTTCTTTCTAAATTTGGAAACAATTTAGCTTAAACTTCCAATTCTATTCTTAATCAGAAGCTTTTATAATCACACAAATATTCTGGATCCTTTTTTAACTTGTTTAGAACCACAAATTCTAAAAGTTTTTATTTTTTCTTAAACTATGTGCCCAATCAAATATGTTTACATAAATTGGAACATGATAGTGTCTAGTGGTGAGTGCGGAACCGAAATACTGTCTAATAGAATTCTTTTTATCTGCTTGCGCCATGTGTATTTCAAAAACAAAGAGAAAGGTTTCTGCGCCATGTGTATTTCAAAAAGAAAGAAAAAGGGAGATGACCGTTAACGCCGTTGGTTAAAAAAAGGGATATAGCGTATTTAATTAATGCGTTATACCTATTTTTGTTCCCCATTATTTTTTGTTATAATTTGGTCGCTTGAGTCTAATTAGATATTATTTGAATTCCAAAATCTGCAAGTGCTAGGGATGAGACAGGAAATTTATTGTGGACAAAGTATGGGTTTTACTTAACCAATTAACAAATGGAAACCTGTTACAAAACGATGAGACACATGCCATGTACCATCCAGTATTGCTTGCGAAGCAATCGTATATTCTCTATTGGTGGTCTCCTAGTAAAAGTATTTGTTCTACCACATTTTTTATGATAATCCTTTAAGTGAGTGATGGTTGGTCTGTTTGGTTCGATTTTTTTGAAGTTTGTTCGATTTTTTATTTGGTGCACCAATAATTAAACCAAAATTAGTTCGGTTTCTTCGATTTTTGCTAATTCGGTTCGGTCGGTTTGGTCTTGTCGTATTGAGCTTTGAAATCGGACTTTTTCTACTAAAAAATATGACTAGTTTCATGTCTTAGTGCAACTAAAACTCGAAAACATGATACTTATAATATAATTAGTGTTATTACACTGTATTTGTAAAATAAATTCTGGAAATATAAATGAATATAAACAGTAATGAATATAAACAGAAATGACATAAACCAATTCGAGCCCACTGAATTCACAGTGTTTCCTTAAGGAATTTAATCCCCTCCTAGTACCCAAGGTTATGGATTATTTCCTCCCAGGATAGAACGAATTACACACTGGTGTAGTGGTACTTCAAACCCCAGTGTTTCAGCGAACACAAAGTTCGGTAGCAAATCACACTTACTTTTTGCTTTGTTTTGATGCTAAAAGTATGCAGAAGAAGGAGAGGAAACTCAGAAAATTGTAGTTCAAATTCTGAGCAGAATAGTGTTGTATTTATAGCCAAAGTTGGGTCTCTTCAGAATGGCTGTTTATGCAAAACACCCACAACATAAATGTCATTACATAAATGGCCATTTACTCAATAATAAAGAGGGAAAATAAAGAGGGAAAATTGAAGAGGGTAGTTACTTTTCTGTTACCAAAACAGAAAAACGGATTGGATTTAATATTAATATTTAATATTAATATTTTGTTATTAAAACAAATATTTAATAACATTTCTGTTAATATTTTACTATTAACAAATAAATTTGGTCCAAAAAGTTAATCAATCAATCGATCATTTGACCAAATCCGAATCCGAATCCGAAGCCGAAGCCGAAGCCGAAGCCGTAGCCGAAGCCGAAGCCGAAGCCGAGCCGAGCGAGCGACGACAACGACGGCGCGAGGCTTGCCTTCTTCTCAACTCTTTAAGAGCTAGAAGAAGAGCAATTGCTTATATACCCATAAAAAACCTCTTCCTCTTCCAATATGGGACAATGCCCATTTGCCAAGGGAGGGGGAACTTAAAATTTCACTCAAAAATTTCATTTCCCTCCATTTCCCTTTCACCCTCTTTTAAGTATTTAATATATTGATTAAATACCTTAAAAACCCAACAATCCCCCACATGAATGGGGAATGGCTATATCGAGAGATTTGTTGAACTCGAGAACAAAAAAAGAGAAAGAAGGCATTCTGAGACGAAATAAACCCAAGACAAGAAGCGGTTCAGTGGAACTGCTACACACTGTGGGGAATGGACCAAATCTACGGAAGTGTCGTGCTCCGAGAAAGACAAGAAAGGGGCAAGCCAAAACATGGTTGAAAGCTGATGTGTTGATGATTTATGTGCTGCCTTCACGAATGCAACTTGTGGGCTATCCTAAAGATGGTGGATGATTTGAGCCATCGCATGTTTTCCGTTAGAGAAGCTTTGCTTCTTATGCTCCCGTTGACCCGTGAACCTTTCTATTGGAAAAATGCTTCAAAGGCGGAAGATTAAGGATATGGAAAAATATATTACTCAGAATGACTATCCGCAAGTGGTACTATTGACACGTCCTTATGTTCCTGAAAGATTAGGAAGATTTAGTCTATACTGGACTTCTTGTTAAGAAATGGGTTTAAATGGGTTAATTTGTATTACCGATAAGGTTTAAATAAGTAAGAATGAGATGTTTGTAGGAAAAGGTTACCTCCACTTGGAGCTTCAAAGACTGAATTAATGGTGTTGAAATAATAATAAATTTCAGCTTCGTCTTTCACTTACTTGATTCAAATGGAATTATGGCATGTACGTTTAGGTCATGTCACATTATAAAACCTTACTCGAAATATGATTAATTGGGAAGTATTGCCCAAAGTTTTGAATGATACAAATCAAATGTCAATGTATGTGTGGATCTAAGTATGTTACATCCTTATAAGTCGGTGAAAAGGAAGTCAATCCTTTAGACTTAATTACACAGTATTTGGACATGAAGTCGAATACATCTCGCCGGTGGAAAAAAGCTATTTCTCAACTTAATCTTGACGATAAGTACATCGATATTCATATGTTTACATTCTTAATAGTAAGATGATAGCAATAGAGAACATTTCAAGCATACAAAAAATGAACTTGAAAACGCCAACTTAATAAGAAAATCAAAATAATAAGAAGTAGAATAGCGTGGTGAATATGAATCTCCTTTTGAACAAATAATGTTTAGGAATATGAAATTATTTCATATCAAACAGCACGCCCCTTACACAGCCCAATCCAATGGAGTTGCAAAAGAAGAATCGTTCATTAAAGAGGATGATGAACCGCATATATATGAATAAGTTCTGTTATGCCACAAACTTGTGGGGGACCATTCTTACGGCATAGCAGAATACTATATCGAGAAAGTACACCACAATAGCATAAACACATTCCATTTCATATAAATAAATGAAAGGAAGGAAGCCCAACCTGAATTATTTAAAGTGTGGGGTGTTTGGCAAAAGTGCAAGTTCCTTAACCAAAAGAGTTAAAATAGGACGAAAACCGTTGATGTGTTTTGCAATAGGTATGTCAAACTATAAATAAAGCATATCGAATCTCTGTTCATAAATCAGAAAATCCGACATTCATAATAATACGGTTATAGAATCAGATAATGCTGATTCTTTTGAAATACTATTCCGTATTTAAAAAGAATGTGAGTCGATTGGGAGATCTAAACGACCTCGAAAAACAAAAGAAAGTTACACTTAACCACAAGAAGACCAAGACGTTAGTAAACGTCAAAGAACGTACTACTTCATTCTGACCAGATTTTGTGACTTTCTTATTGGGAAAATGAGCACTCAAATTTAAGAGCATATGTTTTCTTGGAATCAGTGTTATGGAAAGAGCAGAGCAATATGATAGAATTCCCAACTAAAACAACCATACATGGGAATTGTTGATCTTCCTCCTGAAACAAAACCGTTGGATCTAAACTGATCTTTAGAGAAAATAAAGATGATGGTTAGCTATTCAAGTAGAAGGCAAGAACTGTGGTCAAGTGTATAGAAACGAGAGTCTTGACTAATACTTTGATACATTACTCTCCGTTTACAAGAATCATCCATCAGCACGTTTACGTACAGCGTAGTGCGAAGTTTATGTTGTAATGTCATCAATGGAGATGTTAAGACGCTTCTTAAATGGAGAGTTGGAGGAAGAAATTTACATGGAAACAACCTGAGGTTTGTGGTTCCAGTTAAAGAAAAGACAGGTCTGCAGACTTGTTAAGTCCCTTAGCGGATTTAAACAACAAGGCACCCAAATCAATTGGATGCTAAATTTTGAAACACATAGTCTCAATGGATTTAAGATAATGAAATGTGAAAATGTGTGTACATTTAAAAATGTTCAAATCACAATAGTCATTGTGTTTCCTTATATATGGATGATATGCTCATAATGAGTAATGCATTCTAACATCACATGCTACTACAGCGTATGCTCAACTAGGCAATTGATATGAAAGACTTGGGAGTGCTGGATTAATTCTGGATTAAATTCATAAGACTTCTCGAAGGATTAGCAATTGTCACAATCTCATTACATAAGACAAGTACTGAAAAAATCAAGCCATGTGGCATTTAAAATTGCAAAAGACTCCAATTTGATGTGAATCTTTGATATAGCAAAGACAAAAGGCCAGAGCATATCACAATTGGTTATGCTCGTGTGTTGGTGCTTAATGTACATTCAATAAATTGTACACGACAATATAGCTTGTTGCGATAATATTGAGTCTATATACGAAGTAATCCAGGCCCAATCTCATTGAGATCGGCCATGAACGACGATTTGGGTATTTAGTACATACCCAAGGACTTTGGTGATTACAGCACTCATATCCTGCGGTCATATGAGGGATACTTTCGCTGATGCAAATTGCTACCGGATCACTGATTCCAATCCACAATGGAATTATGTATTCACTACTCTTCGGTGAGAGGGAGCGGTATCTTTGAAGTCATCTAAACAATACTGTATTGCCGCTCACCAATGAGGCTTG